ACGCCCACACATTAAGGAAGCACACAAAAACGCACACACACACACACACGCACGAGCATGTAAAAGACTATAGAACAGTTTACAAGCCACATGGCCTAATCCTTTTGCCCCCTTTACCACAGTAAGCCAATGACCAGCAAAATACATTGAACTCGTAGTCAGGGTTAGATTTGGGATTGGAATTGGGATTGGGATTGGGATTGAGGTTACCAAACTGGTGTCCGGATCTGGTTCTGCTTCATTGGCGCTATAAAATGCCAACGGGTTGCCAAAGCCGACGAAAAGTACCCGAAATCACAAAGCGGCACGTGTTGCTATCCGACTTTGAGTCTTGAGCATTCCGACCCCCCCGCCCCTTCATAGTCAAGGCAACCAGTAACAGGCCACAAAAAAAAAGGGTTCGAACCCCCAATCCCGCCCACCTTGCGCTGTCGTCTAAATTATTGGTAATTTGATGTTTTATTACATTTTTTGAAAATTTAATGCGCGTCCCTTTTTGTATGAGCTGCTTTAAAATTTATGAATTTGCGTCAGTTATAGGGAGAGGGTTGGACTTCTGACGGCCACGTTATTGCTGTGGCTCATAATTGTCACACAATTTTTGAGGCAACTGACTTTTACGATTATGCGACCATATTTAAGTTGCAGTTAGGGTTAGGCAAATGGTAACTGCGGGGAAATCATGCTTACATTTTAGACCGCAATTTTAATATACGAAGGGATATCAAAGGGCAATGAAGCTTTAATAATCTAACTCCTGTTAAGGGTGAAGTAGCAATAATAGTATTTTATATAATGCCTTACCACCTATATGATATAGAAACAGGATCTTACAAGCAGCATCAAACGAAAATTCGAAATTTAAGTAAAATAATCAGAAAACGAGTAAATATAAAACTGATTAAAAGCTTCTTAAAATATATGTTTACAATAAATTTGAATCAAATGAATTTATGCATTACTTACCACGAGCAAAACTGCCCGAATTTGTTTAGTCTTCCAATAAATTTGCGCTGGCATTTTTATCTGTATTTTCTGGTAATCATGGTTTCCATGCTGCAATAGAGAATAGAAGGTACTTAAATCAAATATCAAATAAAGCAATTAAATAGTTGGTCTAAATACTAATTGAAACAATATGCAGCTGGTACCTAATGTCTGAGACAAAGAAACCATTAGATTTAGTGTAAATAAACACATAATCAACAAATACCAACAAGCAAATATACACACACACACACACACACACACTCACGCACGTACACAAGCTCAATAAGAACTTAAATCAATAGAACCTGGCATTTGTTTAAGGAATTGGCCTTTTGCATAATTAAGCAAAATATTGTTAAATCTTTGCGTATGCGACGATTAATGAAGGCAACAACAAAAGCACCAGCTGAGCGAGAGACAAGAAATATGACCAGGGGGAGCTTGGGAGCGGGACGGGGGAGGGCGGCTGAAATTATGGCAGACTCTTTGGAGCGTCCCCGTTGCGTAAACAAGGGCTACAGTGAGCGTAATAAATACGTTTACGGCTCTGAGACATTTGTCATTCAAATTATGTACAAACGACATTACTCATTTCTTCGATGGTTTCTCCCCTACATAGGCAACACGAGTAGGCGTGGCACTTGACAGAAAATTTCACAAATTATCCTTGCTAACAGTGTTTGCTGTTATTTTCCTTCTTTCATTTTGGAGAAAAAATTTAATTTAGATTTATGCACGTTAATTTCGTTTCGGTTGATTTTCCGAGGCAGCAGCCTTTCCTGACTGCCTGCTGTTTATTTTGAATTCATTTCATTTTACAGTCAAGTAATTTGTTTGGCCTGAAAGGGGCGGCAAAGTTATTTAATGTACTTTTAAATATACGCACGTAATTGTAGCCTGTAGTCGGTAAGGTGACTACAAAGGGTATGACAAATTTTGCAAGGGTTTGAAACAAGAGGATAGAACCTTTAAAACAGATGCACATTAAGATTTTCAAAAGTCGATAAATATCGTTTTTCATAAATCATCATACAGCGAAAATCGAATTATAAAACCGCAGTTAAATCGTCTCATGAAAATTGAAACTCGATTGGTGGATCAGAAAAAACCGATGTTTTTCACATGGTTTAGCGATAGTTATCGATTTGATATTTATCAACTTAAAACATTTATATTCATTCAAATATTCATTCAAATATTTAGATATAGGCCTTAAGTTTGATATATGTACTTATATTTGTAGTTAATAATATGTTTATGATAAGTAGTATTTCTTGATTCGGCTAACTGAATTGCTGAATAAAATATAGCATAAAAATACAAATTATTAATTAAATTAATTCATGTGTACTTTACTTTCAAGGGCTGAGTACAAGGTATCTTGCTGGGAAGTACTTCTAGAGAAAGTTTTTTGCCTGTTCAACTTAAACGTAATACTTTAAAGTACTTTTAAGTGTTTTAATCAAACAGCAATAATTATTCCACAAACTTTATACGATAAACTCGCGCTTAACATTAATTGTAAAACTCCAAACATTATTTTACATAAGACATGTTTTTTTCCCAGCAACGATTCAATTAATCGTCATAATTTATGGAGGTGGCACAGAGATATGTTGGCTTTATCAATCCTAAACCAATTGAATGCACACCAGGGAACACTTAAGGTCGCCGAGCACGTACCACAAATTGGAAAATGCTAAAAATACATGGCGCAAAGTAGTTTTCACCAACCAAGGGAATATTGGAGAAATGGTTCACATCTATTGAATTGGTATTAAAACTTTTTCATGTTAAACAGTGCCATTCATCATGTTATTCTCAAACACACATTTCTTTTACCCCCTTGCGCTGTAAAAGTTGCATTTAATAGGTGAAACATTTTGTGTGGTAATTATGAGCAGATAGCCGTGAAAAATATCTAACTGAATGGCAATTCTTCAGCAAATGTGTCCCCAACATTCAACATTCCCCCAATTTTCGGTTCGCCAGTATTGGAATGCGCTCTGACAGACGCTGCGTTGTTGCGGTGTTGTCAACACTTGCGACCTCTAGAAGACCCCAAATAAAAAATCAAAAATATAACTTAAAAAATATTACATGGAAGGTCATAAATAAAACGTTCATTTGGGCCTCACCCAGCGGCTGCAAAAGGTGGGTGTTTCTGTGTTAAAGCTCGCAGGTGATTTTATGTGGTTTTTATGTTTGTGCTCTGTGTATGTGTGTGTGTGTGTGTGCTGCGTGTGTGGTTGCTCCTCCTGTTGTTGTTAAATTTGGTAGCTGAAACGTAATGTAATTAGTTGGCCCTACCAAATACGTAATGAGTACAATTTAAAGACTTTTGTGGTTTAGCAAGATTTAAGCAAATGGCAACCAATACTTTGAGTACTTTACAGTAAGCACCCAAAAGTACTTATTACTTTGATATGCGCATAAAATGCAACTATAATTGGGACTTTTCTTTAATCCATAAATAATTGCATTGAGGTTTCCGACACGAGTTTCAATTTATTTGCCTTGGCTTCAATCGTATCCCTGTTATGTCTTATGTAATCCAATATTGTACGGATTTTTAAAAAGTCTGATTAAACTTACCCTATGGTTATTTGCATAACGTTACGCAATTAATTAAATAATTAAAAACTGATTTCGTATTCTCTGTTTTCAAACAGCAACGGAAATCAGACAGACAACTCAACCAGATAAAAGGGAGACAAGTAAAGAACGCTTGAAATAAATTAACTATGCTCTTGTTTTTATTACCCTTACAGAGGATGAGAACAGTTTATCGTGAAATGTGTAACGCTTTGCTCAAAGCGAATTCGAATAAAGTATCGACAAAATATATTTATATATATCTATATTACTTCACACTCGATAAATATCGATTATGTCTATTTTCCTATCTGTATGTTAATCTTTAACACATTATATTTCATAATAATAGAAAAATATCTATGGACAATTGTGTCTATTTTCCCATCTAATCTTCAATCAATCAATCGATAAACATCAACAAATATCTCAAAATTTCTGTAAAATGATATTTCTGTCTTATCATTTTACAGAAATTTGTGCTCATATATCAGACAGGGTACCAACATTTTTAACTTTTCGATAACTCTTCTTAAAATTGAAATAACCCATTTAAAGAGGATATTTTGATATAAACTTTGTTTGTTTTTTTTTTTTGTAGAGATCGGATTAACTATTAAATTGTTTAAGAATCAATTTTCTTCATCGTGTCCTCAACTTTCGGCATCTGTTTGTGTGTAATTCTATATGTGTGTAAAAAATTAAGTTCAAAGACAGTTGGAAGCTGAGTAAAAAGAGTTTCTCCCATATATATCTACTTGTCCATACATCTGTGCTTGTGAGTGCATTCAATCTTCGGCATCCCCCAAAAAGCACACTGTGCTCTCTTTTATTGTTCCCTTTATTCGTTCACCTCATTCCCTTTGTCATTGTCATTGGTGTTGTGCTTGTTGTTGTCCATTTGGTTGTTGCTGCTGTTGCTGTTGCTGCTGCAAATGTTGCGCATTGAACTTTTAATTAGTAAAATGTGACGTCTGCTTAAGCGAACAACCCCACCCCGGCTGAAAGGTAAGCCGTGTAAGGTGCCATGTGTTGGGAGGATGGGTTCGGTTCGACGCAAAGCAAATGACAACAAAATGAAATTCATTTCTATGCACAGATTGTTTGCCTTTGCAGGTGGGCGGGCGTGCCATTGCATAACATTTTGTTTGTTTATGTTTCGGGGCTTTTATGATGTCGTCGTCGACGACAAGTTCATAAATTATGAACAATTAAAATGTTGCCCGGGAATTGCCTGGGGCAAGGTAAACGCGCTCGCAGTTAATTTGGGGTTCCTGCACGCTACTCAGCTAGGTTCATCAAAAATGTTTGCATATGTCACAAACAAGGGGTCCACCCAATTGAAACGAGCTACAGTGAAGCCAGGCAGCCAGTGGCTTTGCCTAGCTTGTCATGTGTCGTCTACTGCTTCAGTTTTTAGTTTACAGTCCCCAGTTAATGTACATAAATAGTAAATATAAAAAAAATTTTAAGTTACAATCAAACCTATGTATAATCTGCCGATAACAACGCCCCAGCCGCCAAAGGGGGCTATTCCGGGTCTGACCAATTTTGGGCCGTACCCGAGGAATCGACCAAATGTCATCAAGTTCTAAGCTAAACCAAAGTCTAAGGATTGAATATCGAGCTCTCCATCGGAGCCAGTTCAAAAATCGAAGCCAACTAAAGTGAGTAATGCCCCCGCTATCACTTGAAAATATCGTTATTATTTGTTTTATTGGACTCCTCATTAATCTTTCTGCTTTCCGACACAGTTTACCATGTTTCCACATCCAGACATTCCCAGTTGGTATTATTATAATTCCATGTCGATGCCTGATCCCAATGCACAATTTATGAATACACCCTATCCACAACAACAGCAGCAAACATTCATGTCACCAGGATCTTCGAGACAACAAACGTATGCCTATGCGCCCCAATTGCAGCAAACACAGCTGCCACCATCCCATTATTATGGCCAGACGCAGACGCAGCCCGTAAACAATTTCTTAAATTCCTACAGCTCGTATAATTCTGCCAGCTCGGTCCAGATGCAGGCGCAGGCACAGGCAGTGTCCTTGGCTCGGGCTCAGCAGCAGACGACCTGGTTTGATTATCCGGCACAGAAGCCTCCACAGAGCTACAACTATTGGTATCAGAACCAGGAAGATTTAAGTATCTTGGCACCGCAGTCCATATGCCAGACTAGGCCAATTATAAGTCTGGTGAGAAAACTATAATACTTTAATAATTTAGTATTTGAGAAGAGATCGAGCATTATATTTCAATGTTAGTTTCCAGGGAAATATATATTTTAATCAGGTCTGCTAACCCAAAAAAAAGTCTGACTACGTTTTGGCTTGTGAGCCCCATTACTTAATTAAGCACTAATTGACCGCTCTGCGGTTTATTATATATATTTAATTCGTTGACTTAATTTTATCTTCGCCCAAAATTGGCATTTACCAAATATGATTAGATAAATCTGTGGGTTAAGGCTCAAGATATTTAAGTTTTGCGACTGTTTGCCTTAAACTTTGCCTTATTTTGAAACCCAAACAAGTTTGGTATATTTCGCATATAGCTTAGCTGTTTTTATGCAACTTAAAAAATATAATAAAGCCTTGATATATTTCTTTTAAATATGTGCTTTGACTTTCTCAGAATATTTCTAGCATTTAATGCAATTAATAAGTCGACAACGCAAATCAATTTAGTCGAGCATTTCATTTTTCTTGCAATTAATTTAAGATATTTTCCACATTTTATAAAAAGGCTTGCAAATAGAATTAATGCAATTAACAAGCTTCTACAAAAGTATTTTGTTGATATTATTGGAATTGGACAACAAGTTAAAAAAATATATTCAATTTATTTCATTTTTAATAGCAGGAGGATGGGTCCCACGCAAGCCACCAGCAAAGGTCGCCTTCAGGCAACCCCTCACGCTACCCAGCTGGCAATCGACAAGAAATTGAATACTTTTCGCACCTCGGCAGCGGAAGTCTCAATCGCATTGATAGCGTCTCCAGCTTTAAAAACCAACAAGGCTTGCGCATTCGGAATTCTGAGCAAGATTTAGTCGAGTATCGCCGCATAGCCGCACGTCAACTGAAATCAATCGAAAAACGAGAAGTGGCTGCGCTGCGAGCTCCGCAGGAACTACAAATTAGGGAGATCGAACAGGGGTGTAGCCTAGTGAATGAGAACTATCAAGTGGAGATCAGGCAGAAAGCGCCGACGACTCAAAATGTGGTTGTCGAAGGGCCGCTGGAAAACAGGGACAGCGGTTTCTTCAGAAAACTTGGACTGTTAAAGGATCCGTTTTTGCGTAAACAACAGAAAGCCGCGCAGCTACAAACAAATTCACGTTTCTGTGATCAGATATGCGATCCGAGCGGATCAGAGGATACAGTTGAACGTTGTCCACGTAAGAAACGAAACTTTTTGAAACGCCTCTTTGGTGGCATGCATTATCCCTCGAATGTCAATTTGAATGTCCTTATGGAGCAGGATCTGCGCGAGGCGATAGAATTCGGGAAACGGTAGAAAAATACACAGACTGAATATCAACTTCCGATATATGTAATATTCTTTTCATAATATATAAAAAAAATACTCCACCCAATTAAACTTAGGGTTTTTTATTGGAAAAATTAATAAAAAGCTTCACCTTATGGGAATTTATACATATGTATATATATATTGACAGTAGGTAGATTATGATAAATAAACTTGATATCAATTCAAACGCTTTTTAAATCACAACTCGAGTTATTTTTAAAGTCCCTACTTCCGAGCGAATACTTTTGTAATATATCACAATACATTGAAAACTCTGACGATTTATAAATAATTACCAATTTAAAAAAGTGGATTGAAAGAGAATATGCTACCAAGAAGGATGTCCGCCTAATAGGAGTGCCCGTAAGGATCACTGTGGAATAAATACCAGAAATAGTTTTTAAATTCCCAAACCCACTAAAAAAAAACGTTTGATTGCACAATTTACTTGATAATCCAGTACATTGAAAATAATAGATGGGAAATGGATATGCCCTGATTCATAATGGCTTAAGAGGAAGTGTCCGCTCAAGAGGGCTGTCCGCCTAATAGGAGTGCCCGTTAGCAGATTTTTCAGTGTACTTCCAACACCCAAGACACATCTAATGAAGAGCTAATCCATTAAGAATAAGTTAAATATGACACGTGTGAGGTCTCATTTCCAACAAGTTTTTCCACGAAAAACTAAGTAAATTCCAACTTATGCAGAACTGACACCGCGGATTAGCTTTTGACCCGCCGCAGCGATCAACCAATGTGACAGCGGTTTCAATTTGTGTCGCAAGCGTTAACGGCGGCTCATTAAACAGCCATCAGCGCTTATTAATTTTGACATTTCAATGGCCATATATCATTATCCGGCTAGCAAGCCATCAGCAGCTCGTCAGCTCGTCAGCTCGCCAGCATCCACGGAACCGCAGAGCATTTGGCAGGCAGACAAATTCCAAAAAAAACCAAAAATAATTGCGCAGTTAACACGCTAATCAGCTCGTTACCAACTTTTTGATTTCCAACTGATTGAAAACCATGCCCAGTTTTATGGCACGAAACCAGCACAAAACACTTTTGAATAGTTTTCCCGCAGGTTTGGGAAAAAAAAACACGGGCGGCACGAACGAAATTTGAGTTAAATAAATTGGTTTTGGCTTAAAAAACTGCTTAGCCAACATATACTATAATATTGCTTATAAAATATAGAAATTTTCTTTTAATACAAAAAACCCAATGCTTCTTTTATTTTCAGACAATTTTCAGTTTAAAGCTTTAATTTTAATAATTTAAGCTATTGAAATCACAATTATTCAAAAATGTTGTGTATTTCATTATTGATTGATTTTATTATTTTTAAAATGTGAAGTTTTCCTAAAACAAACATTGCTAGCCAAATTGATTAGCTTGTTCCTTCTCCTTCATATTTGAAACATAATCGTTTTAATTTACAGAATTCGTTTGACAATAAAGTTGCAGGCGAACTAGAGAGTTTAATTAAGTTTCTTAATCAAATTCATCTGCTGATGAAATTGCAACACATTTGAGTTCATTTAAAAGCTCTCATCCCTTAAACTAAAAATATATTTCCATTCTCTGGTAACTATCGACTGTGTTATTAATTTGATGGCCTTTTAAACTTATACATTCTTCAAACTTTAAACTGTTTGAACGCCCCTCTCGTGCAGCGCGCTGCTCATTAACATTTCAATAAATTGTTGTAAGTCTTATTGCAGGGGCGTGGCAGCAGTGTTTGCCTGTCATTAGTAACGGCTCAGAGCAGAAGGTGCAACAACTGCGACGCGGTCAGCGAAAAATGCAACGCTCCATTGGGCCGCACGCACAGGTAGACAGGGACAAGTACTGGGAGGGCGAGAGTTAGAGCGAGTGCTTGAAAGAGATAGAGACTGAGATATACCCAATCTAGTTATAATACACCCATAATAGTCATAAAACTGCATACGCTTTTGGTGTTATTCGTTAACGAGTAGCAGTCGAAAGTCCCATAAATGAGGTCGACACGAAACTTGTGGCCCTGTTATGACTTCTTCTGGCAAACATGACGTCAAATCGAATTTGCAGTCATCTTTTATATATGGAGAAAAATACCAGAAACTCTGGGTACCCCATTGCCCATGCCTCAGGTCTCAACCACGTTGTCTGCTGACAGCCCCAGCGAGCAATAAGTTTCAAATAAAGCCGACGACGACGACGTCCAAGTTGTCGCTCATGTCAACGCAAAGAGCGATGAGCTGTGCCTGAAGTTGCCAGGGTAGGGAAGTGATGACGAGGGAGGCTGCAGGTAACGGGGGATTGTTAGGGTAGAGAGTTGCTGAGATGCTGAGACGCAACCCAATGCATTGCCGTCATCATCGTTGCAAAACGTTTCGATTTCATCGAATATCATTGAAGTATTTCGGCATGCACTGAGAAAAATCAGTGGAGTGTGCTAAAAATTGCGATGCTACAATGCATTTGAGGAATCTATGAATATTACATGATTGGAATATCTATTCAAACAAGACAGATATGAAAAAAATATGCTTTGGAATTTAAATATCTGAAAATTAAATAATCAAATTTATGTCTCGCAAGTTTTAACTTTTCTGGAAACAGAAAACTTATCTAATATATTATATATGTTTTAATATTTAATGTGCCTAATAAAAGAAGTGATCAACTAGATAAGATATCACAACACAAGAGAGATTATATATTTATAAGATTAATATAATTAACTGTAATAATTAATACAATATAAAATATTAATAATTATAAGATTATTACAATTACTGTTGTTAAGACAACCTACGAAGCCAAACAATTAAGTTCAACTAGATAATTTTTAAATAAATAAAAATGTTACTGATTTTTTGTTCATAAACATATTTAACTTTAACTTCTTTCAAGTTCTTTCTAGTTGATTTTTCAATATGTTAGAAAATTAGTTATATAGTTTTATATTTAAAATAAGAGCAAAAGTTTTGAAAGTCGTTAAAGTTAATACTATTAAACCGCAATTGAATTTAGTGTCTATCAGAACCAAAAATAATTTTAAAAACTAATAGAACCAATACCAAAAAAGCAAAAACCTACTTATGTACCTTTAAATTTGATAGGCTTATCGAAAACTGTATATTCAAATATTTGGACAAAAATGTTTTGTAATTGAAATTATTCTAAAACATTTTATAACTACAATATGATAAGCCTCACAGACGAACGTTTTTAGATTTTTGGTCCTATTCAAAACCATAAATACAACATAATCTTAAGTGGTGAATTATTTTAACTTAAAATTTAAAACCCACTTTAGACCCGAAATAAAATAAATGTTAAATAATAAAATAACAGCCGAAACCCAGTGAAAATCTATATAAAACAGCCTACTGCCACTAAAAATGTTGCAAGCATTTTTGAGAAGAAGAAAAAATATAGAGAAATGAAAATTTTTTGTAAACCAATAAATTATTTAGCATGTATAAATCACAGGGGGCAGGCGTAAGGCCGCACGAAACTTGCGCTGAAAACATGTTAAAGCCATTCAAAGATTTATTTCGAGATGCTGCTCGAGAGGCTGAAGCGCGTGAAGAGCCCGAGATGCCAAGGAGCAGGAGTCAAACTGCAGCGGAGCTGAAGGGGCTACAGGCAGATAGAGAGCGAGAGAGAGAGAGAGAGAGAGAGAGAGAGGGAGAAAGCAATAAGGAATGAAAGAAAGAAAAATGAGTAGGCAAAGTTTCGTGGCTGTTAGCGCGCTTTTTATTTTAATTTTTACTCGTTACAGAAGATTTCCAAGCGCAATGACGACTGCCGAGTGCCAGTTGCCAGTTGCCAGTCGGACTGAATATGTGTCAGGCCAGGGCTGGGCTGAGCTGAACAGAGGGAAGCGGCAGGTACCACTAGCAGTTCCACCCTACCCCAATCACTACCACCACCACCAGCACCACCAGCAGCACCACACACAACACACATCCGCCACTTGGCTGCCCAGACAACTTAAGCGAAACTTTTCCAGCGAGCGGCGCCTCGCGGAATCACTTAAATTTGTATACTCTGTACGCACTAAAAGTGTGCACAAAAAGGGTATAACAAAGTTGTGCAAGACCTGCTATTTACTCTGTTTTGGAGGTACACTCAAATTTGGTATTAATCTAACTTTTATTAAAATTTCTCATATATCTTGTGTATAAATAAAATGTTTTTCAATCTATTTACTTCAGTCGGCAGAAATTAAAGTTTCTAGAAATTCGAATCATCTAAAAATTAGAATCTGTATATTAATGAAGTACGAAATAAATCAATTACATTTGAATTATTCGGAAATATCAGACTATAAAAAATTACGATTAGTTCGCAAAATAGAATTAGTTCTGTTTTAGCTCCAAACCGTGATTTTATAATTATAATAAAATATAATTCGATAATTAACTTTTGAAAATATCTAACTATAAAACGATAAAGTTTTTCTCAAATTCGAATTAGCATTGGATCCATTTTGGAAAAAAAATAAAAAAATATATAAATTAAATTTATTTTGATTACTAAATTTAATTAAATATTATATTACTATAAATTTGCAATCAAAAAATTGAACTAGATTAAAACTAATATTTTAAGACCATTTTATATTTTTTTGGCGCAACAAACACTTTAGTTTTTGTGAAAACTGCTTTCCACAGCGCTGCATCTTCGTTTCATTAAGTCAAAAAGCTTCTAAGGACACTTGGGTCAATGTTACAGGATATCACCTAGTCGTGCAGGCTCACACTTTGGTAAACCCTCTGTTGGCCTGCATGTACTGCTGGGGCTGCTACTCTTTGATTTCGTGGCAGCTTTTAAGTGTTTAACTTCAGCAACTGCCGCCGAGCAGCGAAATAGCGCACACAACGCACAACTTTCTCTATGCCGGCACATAATTTACTGCCCAGCCCGGTTCTAGATGCAGGACTTCATTTCTATGTCTGGATCGGTCTGCCTGGCTGTCTGTTAAGCAGTTGCATTAACGCCGCAGAACTTCGTTATGCTGGCGTTGGATTCGGGATTTCTTTTATGAGACACAATCAAATTATTACTTGAAACCC